TCCCTCTTTTTCCCATTCAAACCATGTCAGGCATGTATAATAATTTAAATCACCAAAGGATACATTCTGCAAGCCTGCCTCCTGTCTGCCAGCTCTCAGTCCCTCTCTTTCTATGAGTCTAGAATCCTCAACTGCTCCCTCTCTCCATGTCCTCATCTCTGCCTCAATCTCTGGTGTCGCTGCTTCTCTGGATAGATTCCCACATTTCGCTTGTGCTCGTCTCCCTTTATGGTCTTAGGGTCCTCTGTTTCTAGACTGTAAGATTAACTCTTGTTGTTAAGTATCGTTGAGTCAATTCTCACCAGTTGTGACCCTGTATAGGGTTTCCAAGGAGAAGCTGGTGAGCTTGAACCACTGACCTTGCAGTTCAAACAACTTTGCAATCTCACGCATTAGCCCACAGTGCCACACCAGGACTCCGTAAGATTAACTACTTCGCTGTGTTTGTTGCAAAACTTCTACCTTTATAATTGTGAAAGTCTCAATTAGTCATGATAATAATTACTCGATATTGAATCATATGAATCTTATCCCCATCCCTCTTCACCAGACCCATCTAGACAAGATGAAAACTGCTCAGTGGGTACTCTTATCTTCACACACACCCTCTTAAATTAAACTCCCTCTTGAAACCTGGTAAACCAGTCACTTCGTGCCTTTATTGCCCCTCATTTTAAGTAGCCAATGTCTAAATTGTATTCCTACTATATTATGTGCTCTACTGTCGCCTCCCTCTACCTGTATACAGGAGATAGCGTTGATACTTGATGTGAAGACTCCTTCCCTCTGTTGGTATTTCGAACTACTACCTCCTTGAATATAGGTCAAGTTTATCAAATTGTAGCAATTTATCTTTGTTTCCTTTATCAAAAATTGCTCTCTTTTCTATCTTCTTATAGTTGAGTTGTTGATTATCAAGCCCTTGTAGTCTAGGTCAGATGGGTACTATCTACCAGTTTGGATGTTCTTGTGTATCTCCTTTCACTACATATCAGCTGAATGCTTGCTTCATTCTCAGCTCTAGCTCTCTGTGGCTATGTCCTGGTCCGTGGGCTCAGGTGTCTCCAGGTCTCATGACACTTTGGACCAGCCAGCCTTCCTCTTATTTTTCTTATTTTCAGGTCACATTATTTTCCCTCTTTTACCCATGCAAACCATGTCAGGCATGTATAATAATTTAAACCACCAAAGAACACATTCTGCAAGCCTGCCTCTTGCCTCCCATATCAGGAGTCTATGGAACATGGTTGACCTCGGCCCATTTCTTCATTGCTGCCTTTCTTTCTCTTCCACTTACCAGTAGACAAATGTAGTTGCCAGCAAGCTTACATGCCTGCTCACTAAAAACTCCCTTTGAGTTTTAGTCTTAGAGGGGGGTTTGCCCTGAGGAGACTTGGATTGCTTGCCTTGATGGCTTTCTGGTGAACAACTTGCTTATTCTTGTAGTGACCAGTCATACTGCCATTTTTGTTTTGTGTTTTTCATCATGATCTTTATTTGAAGATGTATCTTCTGTCACTCTAGCTGTTCCAGGCTGGTCTATTTGTCCTTTCTAGTGGGAATGAACCACCTCAGAATATTCTGGATGGGGCTTAGGATTCCACTGCAAAGGCTCCACAAGAGACCTATTTCATTGGGCAAGTTGTAGCACCCCTTTTAAGTATTCCAGTCAGTTATAGGCTGACGATTGGCATACAAACTTTCTGTAATCATGTTTCCCAACATTCCTTTCTATCTGACTCAAGTGTCTATTTCACAATAGCAGGCAAGGGAAACCAATATTCATAAGACAGTCAAGCATCTTAGTATTATTTCCCCTCTTCAGAGTATGCCTTAATCCCTGTATCCCAGAGCCCTGTTCCAAGTTTGAGCATGTATCACTATTAACTTAGCCCATGCAAACCTGTCTCAGTGTTCCCCTACCTACCTTGTTCTTCCAACCCCGCCCCCTTCTTGTGTATTGCCCTCCCCATCACGCAAACTATGATGTATCTGACCCCTATCCTGTGCTCTACTGTCACCTCCCTCTACCTCCCCCATAATGGTTTGTTTTTAAGGGTTAAAATTTCTTGAGGTGGCATGTTTAAATTTCCCTTCACATGTCTAGATACTGTTTCACATGTTTATTAACAGATGAGTCTGGTTATTACTTAGTTTCAGAAAATGCCAACAACTGTTTAGTTTTAAAAATATTCATTTCTATACAGGTAAATATCAGTATTTTAAATAAATATCAATGGGCTATCATTGAAATTTTTATTTTCATTGTTTGTAAAATACCTTCTTGGAGATCTTGCTTGAGGTTTGCAACAATTAGCTCTGTAACATGCAAATCTTATGCTAGTTACAATTTGTTATAAGCTTAAAGGATATATTTTAAGTAATGGCATCAGAGGATCTGCAGGATGTTAAGTGAGTGCAGCTTCCACAGTCTCCTCAATTTATTAATGGGCGATGTGTGCTAGTATTGGCAGTATTATGAGGTTCTGTTAAGTCACTAGAGCTCCCCAGTGGAATTGTATTCCTACTATATTATCATTAAATTTAAGCTTATTTGCTTAAGTTGATTGCAAGAACTGCCATTTCCTGAGCTATGTCAACTGATTCTTGTGTCTGAGTTCAGATTCTTATAGGTTGCCAAGGCTGTATTGTTTTACCACCTTTAACCTAATCTCTGTAACCTGTAAATATGTTGTCTTAATAGCAAAGGAGAATTAAATTGCATATGGAATTAAGATTGCCAGTCAACTGATCCCACAATAAGGACATTGACCTGCATATAGGAATCCCTGGTGGGCATAAGTGAAGTGCTGGACTACAAGTCAAGATATTGGCCATCCCAACCCTGCCAGAAGAATTTTAGAAGGCCTAGCTGTCTGCTGTGAAGTGGTCAAACCCTGTGGAGCTTTCAATCCTTTGTAGCAGTTCTACTCTGCATACATGGGATCACTATGTATCAGCAACTCACAACAATAACAAAGCCTGAATTTATCTGGCTATTTTGAAATTGCATGATCATATACTTTGAATATGTTTCTAATTTTATTAATTATACATGGTGTTCAGTGGGACCTTTTAGTTTGAAATTTTTTAAATTCTTAATTTTTAAATTAAAATACAATAAATGTAGTTTTAGTGAAATAACATTTTAAATTGATTTCAATGAAATACATGGATTTTTTTTAAAGAAACAACTGATGTAAGACAATATATGTTGTGTGCCATTGAATCAGTTCTGACTCATACTGACCCTGTATAGGGTTTCTAAGAACAGCTGGCTGGTGGGTTTTAAATGCCACCCTTGCAGTTTACAGCCAATTGCTTATCCTATAGAGTCACACCAGGGCTCATGTGGATTTATAAGGAAAAGTAAATCTTTCACAACAACTCCTTTTCCAGATACAAGAGCTTCCCTCTTTACATTCTACTTAATGCTGATTATTATAAGCATTTCTTTGGAAAGTATTGAGAAAAACTTTATCTCATTATTTAATCATGATGATAATTCAGATCATCATGTATATTTAAAAAACAATGCTGAATTTTCTTACTGGTCCTAATGTGGTGTTGTAGGATAAGCAGTGGACTCTTAACCGCAAGGTTGGATGTTCAAACCTACCAGTTGTTGCTCAGAAACCCTATTACAGGTTTGCTATGAATCGGACCTGACTCAACAGCTCTTAACATCAACAACAACTTATATAATTCTTTAAAATAATCAAACTTCTACCAAACTTCTAAATATCAAAGCATCCAATTGATCTTAAAATTTTCCTTTATGTCTTTTAATTTTTTTCAGTACTCTATTGTTTACCCTTTTCTACTTCTTTGATTAAAATTGTTGTTTATTGTTGTTATTAAGTGCTGTCGAGTCAGTTCCAACTCATAGCAATGCTGTATACGGTTTCCAAGGAGCAGCTATAAAATATTCATATTAATATTTGCATGGGGAAAATAGTTTAATCATTGATCTGATGAGCTGAATGTGAGAGAAATATATTCAGTACCAGTCAACAAATGTTTATTTGATACCTGCTGGGCAGAAGCAAGATGAGAGATTTTACCACTTTGTGATCTTTTGACATTTCCTGCTACTCTTTGGTTTTCTGCTGCTTCTTGTTGTTAAGTGCTATTGAGTCAGTTCTGACCCACAGTGACTCTCTATAGGATTTCTGAGGAGCAGCTGGTGAGCTTGAACTTCCAACCTTGCAATTTACACCATCTTTGCAGTCCAGTGTATTAACCCACAGTGCCACACCAGGACTCCTGCTATATTACATATGAATTCTGGAACTGTTTCATTTATTCCATATTGCTGAGTCTCATTTTATTTATCTTTATATTGTTAAAGTCTTTTTTGTAAAGAGAGATCCCAAAGTCACTTCTTTTAAATGTGTGTTTTGTACACCATATGATGAGAGTGCTAAGTAGTCTCCGGAGATTAGCGAAAGGCCTGATAGGTAGCATGTGAACATATGAGTATACAAGCATGTTATGTTAAGAAAATATTTGCTGAAATACATTGATGCATTTTATTTTAAAAATGAATTTAACATATATAAAGCATCAAAGTTCACTTGATTATATTCAAATTTCCAGATTTTCCAGTAATTGGAAATAATCAACTTCTGTGTATCCTAAACTATGGAAAATAATATTTTTGTTTGCTAACAAATTCCTTTCATTATACCTTATTATTTTGTCAAAAAAGAGTGATTGGTTGTCAGTTTTTCCTCTAAAGAATTAGTATTTTTTGACGGTTACTTGGTACGCCTAAATTTTCTTATACCAAGATTCATGAAAACAATTTTTAATCGAATAACAATTATTTTCTATTAAATATTAGCTTCCAGGCCTAGATTATTGGAAATAATGTATATAAATAAAGGTATTCTCACTAGTGATATCAAGAAGTCACATGTACTATTTATATATATGAATAGCTCAGAAATTATTTTGTATTATAAATATTAGTTTTATATAACTTCTTCTCTTGCCAGATGATGGACCTACTCAAAGCAACTCTCTTACTGAGACTGCCATGACACTGCCTAGTGAATCAAGAGTCAATGTACATGCTATAACCTCATTAAAAATATTAGACTATAGGTATGTTGTTCATTTTTTAAAAAAAGTTACAAAGAATGCAGAAGAAATCATATTTTAAAAAATAATCTTTCAGAAATAAGACAGCTGATGAGGAAGAATTTATCAGAATACTTGATTTAAAGTAATAGCAATTATAAAAATAATGAGATCAAAGTTTATTTAAAGTACAATCAACTTCACCTCCCATTCTGTAGGTCATTCCTGTTTATTATGTTTAATAGAGAGACAAATGGTTATTAATATTACTATTTTTATAGTGAAATATATTTCCATTTTCTAAACAGTGTCAGTATTGGTAATAAGATTCTCTTAGTTAGCAGCACCCAGAATGAATTTTATTTGTGTTCTATGTTAGAATCATTTTTATTTCTGGCTACCATTTCTTTTACCTTGAATGTTGTTGTTAAGAGCCATCAAGTTGGTTTATACTTATAGCAACTATGTATAGAGTTTCCCAGGAGCGACTGGTGGATTTCAACTTCCAATCTTGCAGTTCAGACAAACGCCATTTACTCTTTATAGAACTGGGCATAGTCTTGATGTGTAGCTGCAAGATAAGCACAGGATCACAAGGCCGGTTTTAACCAATAAATCAGTGATTCGAAGTTCTCAGAGACCTTATACAGGGTCGCTATGAGTCAGAAACAACTAGACAATACTTAACAACAACAACAACAACATAGAACCGGGAAGTGTTTCATTCTGTTGTGCATAAGATTCCTATAAGTTAGAAGTGACTCAGTGGCATTTAACAATAACAACAATTTTGTTCTGGTTGTTGTATTTTACATTTACTGTTGGTTTTGATTCTCCAAACCATCTATGAAATAGTATTAATCTAGTTTAATTTGGTATAACCATTTCCTTTATTAAAAACTGGTATCACAAAAGCATAATAAAGATACCTCTTAAACTATACATTTTAGGTTGTTCTGATTCTATTTTATTGTAATTTGTTTTTCTCAGAGACTTTAATTGAAAATGTTCATCCTGTTTAAAATACAAATTAAGTACCAATATCAAAGCATAAATGCTTTCAACTAAATTTTAAAATTAACGTGAATGTTCCATGTTTGATTAGCATAAATCAGTTTTCCATGACTAGATCATTTCGGATTCAGAAGTTAAAAATGCTACAACTGCAGGAATTAGAGCCCTACAGCAAAATTTGAAGGCAATTAACCCTTTTGCCTATGTGTATTATTTTGACTTATGAAATTATCTCAGGGCGTATATTCTATGTAATACTGTTTTATGTATTCAGTTATTCATTTGCCCTTTCATTGATGTTTTCCCTGAATAGTGACATTGCTTGAATACAAGTATTAAAAACTATTGAAGGGGGATAAAAAAAGAATGTAAGGATTATTAGAACATCAAGAAAATTTTATATCTGCAAATGTAAGGCTAAATTGTTATTTAATGAAAATATTAATGAAAAATTTTATCAAAAGGGGATTTACATATATATATGTATATATATGCAAAGGATGTGGCATAAATTCAGATGCTAGGTTTATAGAATTAGGGTTCAGGAAAGATAAACTGCAAAGCACATTAGTTTCAGAACCAAGAATAGTTTAGTCTCAGTCCATTACCCTGTCCACCTTGTTACATATTAAATATGGGATAAATTTATTTAGATTATTAGAGGTAGTTATTTTACTTTGATAAAATGTTGAAGTTTCAAAAATTGTTATCTTATAGTAAACTGTATAATCCCCAAAAGCTGACTGAAAGGACCTTTGAAAGGCTTTTATGAGAAAAGGGCAACAACCACCTTTTCAAATTATAGATTTGTCCTATTGAGAGACAGAACTATGTGCCATCCACTTACTATATTAACATACTCCTAGACATTTTGGAATAACAAGAGGTTATGGCACAGTGTACTATAGCACATTGTATAGTTTGAATTATTAATGGTAAACATTTTCTGGTTAGCAAGTTTATGTGGCATTCTATAAAACTTAATAATAAACTGCTTTTAAAAGTTTCCATATGTAATCTTTAAAGGCCTTTACAAAGTTAGCAATAATCTTACCTTTCTAGGCTGCTGAAAATGATGCAATTTTAACCGTTTTTTTATAGTGATAAGCAAACAACTTCGATTCCTGATGAAGTATTTGATGCAGTAAAAAGCAACATTATCACTTCCATTAACTTCAGTAAGAATCAGCTCTGTGAAATTCCGAAGAGGTAGGATCTGTTGGTGATGCAATTACTATTAAATTGTCATTCATTCTCTGTTTTCAATAATAACAATTAAAAGAATCATTAGTTTTCATCACTTTAAAATTTTGATTATGTACAAAGTTGTTTGCATTATAAATTAGATTTGGCAAATATCATTAAGTATTTCTGAAATAATCTTAACATTTGTTTTGAGTGGTATATAGGTGTAAAGAAGTTTTGTTTTTCTTTTACATATTTTTTTTTAGAAAATAGATGTTAGATTATTAAAAATATTAATGATATTTTTTGTTTTGTATTGTATTAATGAATTGACAGGACTCCTAGTGTGGCACTGTCGGATCAGCACTGAACTGCGAGCTACAAGGTTGACAGTTCAAACCCACCAGCTGCTCCTTGCAAGCCCTATACAATTGCTATGAATTAGAACTAACTCTGTGGCACTTAACAAATAACAATGAGTTGACAGGCCATTAAATTTTTCAGCTAATAATAAAAATTTTTAAAGTGTTTTAGTCTAATAACGTAATTGTAATGCCGACCGGAGACTTTGATTCGAAGCCCAGCTGGGCGAACCAGGTGGAGGAAGAGGGAGAGGACGACAAATGCATCACCAGCGAGCTCCTCAAGGGGATCCCTCTGACCACTGGTGACACCTGCCCAGAGCCTGAGCTACTGCCAGGAGCTCCACTGCTGCCTCCTAAGGAGGTCATCAACGGAAACATCAAGACAGTGACTGAGTACAACATAGACGAGGATGGCAAGAAGTTTAAGATTGTCCGCACCTTCAGGATTGAGACCTGGAAGGCCTCAAAGGCTGTGGCAAGGAGGAAGAACTGGAAGAAGTTTGGAAACTCAGGGTTTGACCCACCGGGGCCCAATGTGGCCACCACCACAGTCAGTGACGACGTCTCCATGACATTTATCACCAGCAAAGAGGACCTGAACTGCCAGGAGGAGGAGGACCCGATGTACAAGCACAAGGGTCAGAAGATTGTGTCCTGCCGCATCTGCAAGGGCGACTACTGGACCACCCGCTGCCCCTACTAGGACACATTAGGGCCCATGCAGAAGTTGCTGGCTGAGCAGCTGGGCCTGTCCACTGGAGAGAAGGAGAAGCTGCCCGGAGAGCTGGATCCCGTGCAGGCTGCCCAGAGCAAGACAGGGAAGTACGTACAGCCGAGCCTGCGTGATGGGGCCAGCCGCCACGGGGAGTCTATGCAGCCCAACCGCAGAGCTGATGACAACGCCACCTTCCGGGTCACCAACCTGTCTGAGGACACACGGGAGACTGACCTACAGGAACTCTTCCGACCTTTTGGCTCCATCTCCCGCATCTACCTCGAGAAGGGCAAGACCACTGGCCAGTCCAAGGGTTTCGCCTTCATCAGCATCCATCGCCGCGAGGACGCTGCCCATGCCATTGCCGGTGTGTCTGGCTTTGGCTATGACCACCTCATCCTGAACGTCAAGTGGGCCAAGCCGTCAACCAACTAACTGTTACCATTGGCTGCTGCTTGGACCCCACCCCCACCCCCCCAGGACCCTCGGTGACAGGAAGTGGCTTCCAAGTTTGGGACTCCCAAGGGCAATAAATGTTCAGATCACCCAGGAAAAAAAGTGTTTTAGTCTAAATAAACCCTCTTATTTTAATTCCAGAGAAGTGTTCTTCACTTGCAATGATTAGAATTTTTCGGCATTATACCTTGTGCTATTTAATACATTTTGTTGATGCTAATCATAACAAGATTTTACCTTACAGTTAAAGCAACAGTATCATTAGACAGGTTAGGATAATGATAAAAAACTTAGGCACTAAAGTCAATTGCTTGTGTCTGTATCCTAGATCTTTTAGCTGTGTGGTGTGGGAGAGGTTAAGTAACTTCTTCACCTCTGAAGTAGGTATAATAATGTTGTCTATAGGTGTCATGAGTTAGTTCCGACTCATAGCAATCATAAAACAAATCACTGCCCGGTACTGCACCATCTTCACCGTCATTGCTGTTTGAGCCCATTTTTGGAGTCACTGTATCTATCCATCTCTTTGTGGGTCTTCCTCTTTTTCTCTGCCCCTCTGCTTTACCAAACATGCTGTCCTTCAGACACTTCTCCCTGCTGCTAACATGTCCAAAGTACATTAGATGTAATCTCGCTAACCTCCCTTCTAAAGAGAATTCTAGTGGTACTTCTTCCCAGATGTGTTTGTTCTTCTGGTTCTGGAATGGTGGTGTGGTGGTGAAGAATAAGCACTGGTCCACAAGGTTGATTTGAACCACAAGGTTGGTGGTCCAAACCCACTAGCTGCTTCTCAGAAACCATATACAGGGTTTCTATAAGTTGTATTTGACTTGATGACACTTAACAGCAACAACTGGCAGTTCTTGGTCTATTTAATGTTCTTTTCCAACACCTTAATTCAAATGCATCAGTTTTTCTGCGGTCTTCCTTATTCATTGTCCAGTTTTCATATGCATATGAGATGATTTAAAATAGTATGACTTGGGTAAGGCATATCTCAGTCCTCCAAGTGACCTCTGCTTTTTAACATTTTAAAGAGGTTTTTTTGTAGCAAATGTTCCAGTGAAATATGTTGTCTGATGTTTTACACTGTTGCTTCCTTTGAGTGTTGATTGTGGATCGAAAGTAAAATGAAATTTTGACAACTTCAGTTTTTTCTTTATTTATTATGATATTGTGAGGCTTTTTTTTTTCTTTATGTTGAGATTTAATCCATGCAAAAGTCTGTAATTTATGTCATCAGTGATTTAAGTCTTCTTCACTTTTAGCAAACAAGGTTGTGCCATCTGCATATTTCAGGTTGTTAATGACTTTTACTGTGGCACTGTGGGATTATGCAATGGAGTGCAAGGTCAGTTTGAACCACAAAGTTGGTGGTTCAAATTCACCAACCACTACTTGGAAACCCTAATCAGGGTCTCTATGAATCGGAACTGACTTGATGGCACTTATCAACAGCAATAACAGCGAGTCTTAATAAGAATTAAATTATATGACATAATTCATGTAAAATAACCAGTGCTAGTGCTTCCAACATACCAAGCAGTGCCTTAGAAGAAAGACTTAGTGGTCTGTTTCCATACAAAACAGTTATTAAAAATGATATGGTACAGGACTTCCAGCAAGATGGCAGACTAGGCAGATGCACTACACAGACCCTTATACAACAAAGACATGAGAGACCAAATAAAATAGACACAGATGAAAATTTTGGCACCTTCAACTTCAGAAGAAAGGTTAGAGAGCAATATTGAGTGCTTGCTTGAAGGAGAGGCAGAGCAGGGACAGTGAAAGAGAGAGCCTGACTGGTGAACGTCTGAGCAGACACAGCTTGACCATCTAGTGAACAGCTTTAGCAGCAGAGGGAGGCCTGGCATAGCAGATTCACACAGGTGACGTGAAAGCTGTGATTTCTTCTTGTCCCCATGCTCCTCTGGTGGCCAGAGGTGTGGCTAGTTCCCACCATCATCCACGCCCAGTGTAGATCTTGCTCTTCAGGAGTTTGGAGCCACATAGTTGAGAGCCATGCTTGTGGGTCTGGCTGTGCTTCTTTGGTGTGCCACTTTGTTTTTTGGATTCAGGTGGGCTCAGCTCCAGACCTGTAAAACCCACAGAGCCACCAGTGCATTTAACCATTCACCCTGTCTCCAGCTTCCCTGTAGTTGTAACAAACACTGAAACCAGCTCCATGAAGGGGCCCCATGAACTACTTCCAGATTGAGCACCCTGAACATAAATAACACTGAGGCCAATAGAAACTCAGTCTAGGGCCAGGAACTTTGCTGTTACATCCTTTTCACAACCACCTTATAAGCTCCTTGAATTGCAGGAGCCCCCAGAAATTTCTCTCCTGTTCAACAAAAACTGCACTCTTTTTACAAATATGACAACCCCACAATGCCTTGTCAGCTTATATAATAAGCCTTTGTAATAAGGTAGCTTATATGAAGAAACAACAGAGTATGGCTCAAACAAATGACCAAGATTCAGAGACAGAAAACATTTCTTTGGAATAAAAGGTAATGGAACTAAAACTGAGAACAGATTAAAAAGAATGATACTTTGACATTTCTAGCATGACAGAAAAATCGAGGGCAGCAAGGAGAATACAATAAAAACTTTATTAGGTTTCAGAAAAATACTACAAGAACAGACAAAATAAATGTAAATTTTGAAGCAATACAAAACTGACAATTCAGAATTGAGAAGATTAATACTAAAATTTCAGAAATGAACAGGGAAAAGCAGAAGATGTGAAGCAATGGAAGACAGAATTAGTGAACTTGAAGATAAGTCTCTCAATACAAGTATGCTAGAAGAACAATAACAAAAAAAAAATCTGAAGAGAGCCCAGGAGTTCTGTGTTTCACCATGCAGAGGAACAACTTACACGTGATTGGAATTCCAGAACAGGAAGATACAATAAAAAGCACAGAGTAAATTGTTAAGGAATTGTGGGAAGAAAACTTCCCTAACATCATGAAAGTTGAGAAGATAAGCACACAGAAACTTCAAATAGGATAGATCCCAAAAGAAAATCACCAAGACATAAACTTTCCAAAACCTAAGATAAAGAAAGAATCCTTAGAGTACCTTGGGAAAAAAAGAAAAGTTACCTACAAAGGAGAAACAATAAGACTAAACTCTGATTTCTCAGCAGAAACCATATAGGCAATAAGACAATGAAATGACATATACAAAACTCTGAAAGAAAAAATTTGAAAACCAAGAAATGTATACTTAGCAACTCATATACCAGACCAACTTCACAAAATGTGCTAAAGGGTGTTCTTTGGACTGAGAACCAACAACATTAAACAACAACCTGAGATTACCATACATGACACACCACCCAGAAATCAGTCCAGATACAGACATATATGTAAAGTAAAACAGACCTACAAGACAATATAGGGAACCAGTGATATCAGTGTGAAATGAAGTCATTTACAAAGCAAAAAGAGGGAATAATGTAGATACAGAACTTTCAAAAGGCAAGGAAGTCGAATAGATTTCAAGATAAAACAAACTTTTAAGCAGGAAAAAAACTAATAAGTTATAGGGTAACCGCAAAGAAAAGTGGTACACTTGCACATCACAATTTTTTAAAAAGAGGAAAATCAGAAAGGTTTAATAAACATTAACACAACAGAAATGAAAACGATAAATAAACCAACAAACAGAATGAACTCAGCACAGAAAACTATGTGGAACAAAGAATCTAGCAGCACCACAAAAAAAGAACACACAGAAAAATGACAGCAATCAATTCCTACTTATTGACAATTACACAAAATGTAAATAAATTCAATGTACCAGTCAAGAGACATAGAGAACAGAATGGATAAGAAAACAGGATCCTTCAATATGCTGTCTACAAGAGACATACCAAAAAGATGGAGACAACCATAATGACCATCACCAGAAGAATGGTTAAACAAATGTTGGTACATACACACAATGGAATTCTGCAAAATGTTGAATACTGATGAATCCATGAAACACCTCATGACATGGTTGAATCTGGAGGACATGCAGAGTGAAATAAGTCAATCACAGAAGAACAAATATTATGTGTGACCAATGTTGTAAAAAAGGAAAAAATAAGCAAATCCTTTTCTTGATAAAAGAAACAATCTATGATGATTATGGGGGGAGTGGTGTGAATTATTCATGGGCTAGAGGGTAAAACACTTGTTAGCATGGGTTACAGGGCAGGTGGTATACAACAAGAGAGATGTTAGCCAAGGACAGAAGTAGGTAATGGGGAGATACTGGGAGTAATGCAATGATTATGGTGGATAGAAGTGTAAATATTGTTAACTGTTGGTACATGGAATAGATTGCCACCATGTAATGAAATACTGTATATGAATTTGTTGATTGTAAACTGATGTTCTGCTCTGTAAACTTCACTCAATTCACAATAAGAAGTTAGAAAATAAAGAAAAGAAAGAAAACTCTATGGTGTATAGATCTAGTCTGATACACATGGGACTGCATGAGTTAGAGTAGACTTCATGGCAATTATTTTAGTTCTTTATAAGCATTTAACTTAAAAAGTAAAATAAAAGTAGAGGAGTGTGATGTGTTGCAAAAATAGAATAGATTTAATCTGACAGCCAGCAAAAATTCTTAGATGTCCAGAACTTGAAAAAATGGACAACCTATAATTGATTTTCTATTTTGTAGAGCATAGTTTCAGGAATGTAGATCTTGAATGATAACAACTTTAAGGAACTCAATTGCAAAAAGAGATTTAATTAATCTCCTACTCCTCCCTTAAGAACTACTTTAAAAATCTTATTTAATTATATAATAAGGTTGATAATGGCAGTAACATCTTACCCATATTTTATAATTATTTTTTTTAGACAAGATTACCAGAAGAATGACTAAGTCAAAGGGCTTGGCTCTCTTGATACATAATGCAAAAATTCTCCAAAAAATTTGATCAGTTACATATAGCTAAACGCATATTGTCTTTTACTACATCTTCAGGATAGTATTTGCTATTCCTCTTCTCTCTTTTCCTTTGCTAATGTAATAGTCTCAAAAATATTTATTGTTACAGTTTAATTTTCATTTTTTGGGGAATCAGACATCATCATTTTTTATTCTTATAGCTAATAACTGTCTTAAAACTACTAAACTTGATTTACTCTTAAAAAAAAAAAATTTCCTGTGAGTTGGTTCCAATTTATGGCAAATCTGTGCATGTCAGAATAGAACTGTGCTCCATAACATTTTCAATGGTTGCTTTTTCAGAAGTAAATTGCCAAGCATTTCTTCCAAGGCACCTCTTGGTGGATTCAAACCTTTAACCTTTCCATTAGCAACTGAGCTAATGTGAACCATTAGCACCATCCAAAGCCTCATTTACTTTTTCCTCTTTAAGTCTTTAAGATAAGCGACTTAATGGTGGCATTTGCTGAATCTAATCATGTTTAACTAATAATTTGTGAAACAAACACTATACTTTGAAAAGGTTGACCATATCGTAATTACTGAAATACATTTTTAAAAGTACTTAGATATGCATCCCCATTGGGAATGCAATGCCTCCATAGGTTAAGCACTGGAATGCCCACCACAAAGTTGTTAGTTTGAGTCAGCAGGAGAAAGATAAGCGTTCTGCACATGCAAAAAATTTAAAGCCTCAGAACCCTATACAAGTAGCTATGAGTTGGAACTGGCTCCACTGCCCTTAACAACAACAGAAATATATGGTTTATATTCTATAGTCTTAAGTAGACACCTGTTAGGATATATATAGAGGCTATATATCCGACTATTTTATGGCTTTAAATCATTAACAGAATTAGATACAAAGATTGCCTAGATTTTGTTTTTCTCCTTTATGTCATAAATATATATGTTTTCTTGTTGCTCTTTTAATCAAACTTCAACAAAGAAACCTTTGAAGAAATAAGACTAGTTTTTAAGAACTAACTGGCATTTTTGTGGGGAAAAAAAGTTGCTGAAAATGTAAACTAGCAGAATAAAGGATATTCCCTCTTAAGGTATGTTTGTAGTTTTGAAGTTCTGACAGCTAATTTAAGTGCTAACATCTTAAAATTATGTTTATTTCAGGATTGTGGAACTGAAGGAAATGGTTTCCGATGTCAACATCAGTTTTAATAAGCTTTCCTTTATATCCTTGGAATTTTGTATGCTCCAAAAATTGACTTTTTTAGATCTAAGGTATTTATTGATTTTATCGCTTGACTTTTTTCATTATTATTTGTCTTTAACTCTACCTAATTTTTGCTCTTGTCTTCATATTTTCTTAAGCAAAGAAACTAGCCTGTACTTTACTAATAATATTTCCAGAAAAATGTAACATTAAGCATCTAGGAAATATTTAAGTCAGGCATCTATCATGTTCAAACCATTTATAAGTTATATGATAAGGAGAGAAAATGATCTAGAATGCTACACAATATTAACACATTCTTTCCTATGTAAAAGTACAAATAAACACATCATAAAAATTTAGAGTAAATTGAATAGTTCCCATTTAAGTGATAAAGCTGTAAATAGCAGTAGTGCTTTGTATAGTTGTTGCTCAGTAACTGGTATGTTGCTTAGAAATGATGTTAAGTGCCGTCTAGTTGGTTCTGACTCATAGCAACCCTTTATAGGGTTTCCGCGGAGTGGCTGGTGAGGTTAAACCACCAACCTTGCATTTCAAAGTGACCTTTTAGTCCAGCACATTAACCCATAATGCTACACCAGGACTCTGTACTTAGAAATAAGAGGGAGTAATATTTTTCCTTATATTTTGTGAAGTTCAGTGATGTTTCTTTAAAGAATGTTTTTGTTTCATACTGTTACTTTACTGAAAATGAATAGGATAAAAGTGTCACCACCCTTTGCTGACAATCTCCTTAAAGAACACTTGGTTTCAATATATTAATTAAGTATGCAAGGCCAGAAGAAAAGAACACTATGAGAAGACAACAGAATGCTTAAAACTCTGCAGCTGTAATAGGAAGTTTAACTATGCCCAAGAAAAAGTGATAGGATCCGACATCTCACATTTTAAGAATAATAGTATTTGTGTGACAGTTAAGATTAATTATTTTCTTGGACTTTAAAATTTCATTTAAAAGCTGTATCTTTAATGTCTGGGCTACCTAGTGCTTACAGGTTGTTACTAGGTGTGTTTTAGTATCTAAAATATAACTCCTCTTCCTTTTTGTCTAAATAATAAGCTAAGGATTTATTTTTTGTCAATAACAGTAAGTTATGAATTTGTTTTTCCTGTAGAAACAAGCATTTTTACTTAATGTAATTAAAGCAAATATACTAACACCCTGCTCTTATTAAACAGAATTGTTTTGAAGTAGCAACTGTACTTGCAAAGCAGTGTAAAATTACATTTTAGTTCAGTATTAGTAGAACAGAGAGGATGAATCCATGTCCCAGTTGCTGCTATGTTATTTCCTTTTATCCCAAATGTTGTCTTTCTATATATACACGTCTCTGCCTATAACTGTACCTGGGAGTTTCTAACTGATCAAAATCTTCTCTCATGTCTGCTATTAGTAGCTTTAAGACTCAAGGAAAAGAACAGAAACAATCAGTAGATGATTCAACACAACTTAAAGATAATAACTGGAATAAAGCATAGAGAAAAGTAAAAATATAGATTGCACTGTAACAAATATGACTATCACTAAACTCAAAGCAATAGGATAGAGGACATTTTTCGGTTGTAAGAAGGTTTCATTTATAAGTAGCCATCTATTGGGCAATATTCTTACAAGTATCTTTTAGTATTAGGTAGTTTGTATTGCCTCTCGGATCCTTTTGCCTTATTGTTATTTTTCCTTCTAACGTGAGTCCCAGATTATGCTTCATATAATAAATAAGATTGTGTTTACTTCCATGTTTCACCATGAGAGGAAAAACATGAGTTGTGCAAATTCAAATTCCAAATTTAGAGAAGAAATGCCTAATACCTTTGAAGTAGAAAGTTTCAAATTTCTAAGCATACACATTTTCTTTACCTTCCTGTTTCATTTTTTTCTCTTATAATTTAAAAATTTTAAAGGCACAGGAGCTCTGGTGTGGTGCTATAGGATAAACACTCCACCAAAAGATCGGTTTGAAATGCAAGGTTGGCATTTCAAATTCAGTAGCCGCTCTTTGGAAACCTTATACAGGGTCGCTATGAGTTGGAGCCATCTTAATGGCACTTAACAATAACAACAACAAATGTATTAGTATACATGTTATGTATTATGTAACAACAGATGTATTAATACCAATTGAATATTTAATATATTTTTTATAGCGGTCCCTGTCTAAGAAGTATTACGGAGCCATTTTGAAAGATAAGGGATTTGTTTACATTTACCTTGTTAAGCATACTTGTTAAAGACTTGGTTGCTTTACCATTGTTCCTGGTGAGTAGTGGTGGTTGCATTCCTTGGAGTCTACACTTACTCCTACTGAACTTTTGTAGGGTGTGCAAGGCTATAACTCTTTTAAGGGAGCAGAAAGCCTCATCTTTCTCCCATGGTGCTACTGGTAGATTCGAACTGCTTACCTTGCGTTTAGCAGCCCAACTCTTAATCCACTACATTATAAGGGCTCCTTTAATAGTTGGTAGCATGTTAGCACACTAATCAAATACTTAGGGCAGTTAACGTATTCAGAATTCTTAATACTCAGATTTAATAAGATCAGGTTGAGGATTGGCATACTGATATAAATAATTTGTTTCCTTCTGTGTAACATTTTAAACATGAATTAAAAATTATAAAAATTTTCAAACTTTCTAAATCCTGTATTTTTTTCCAATTTAGAAACAATTTTCTAAACTCTTTGCCTGAAGAGATGGAATCGTTGATAAGACTACAGATGATCAATCTTTCCTTTAATAGGTAAGAGACAGAACAGACAATTCTCTGACTAATTTTGTACAAAATCTATAAAATTTTTATACTAGAGAAAAACAATGAAAAGAGTCAGATAAACAATAAACAAACAAACAAACAAAAAACAAACTGTTGCCATCAAATGGATTAAATAGATTCTAACTCATTGCGATCCAATAAAACAAGCTAGAACGTGCCCTGTAGGATTTCCAAAGCTGTAAGCCCTGATGGTGCAGTGGTTAAGTACTCAACTGCTAACTGAAAGGTCAGCAGTTTGATTTTACTTCTGGGATCCCAACCACACTTAACAACAAGGAGTCCTAGTGCTACGGTGGTTAAGCATTTATTTGTTAACTGAAAGGTAAGTGGCTCAAAATCACCATTGGCACCATGGGAGAAAGAGAAGACAGTCAACATCCATAATGATTAACCCCACTGCCATGAGTTGATTCCAACTCACAGTGACCCTGTAACAGTATGGTTTCTACGACTGTAAACTTTATGGAAAAGAGCCCTGGTAGCTACAATCCAGGATGTTAACCACAATGTCAATAGTTCAAATCTTCCACTTGCTTCATGGGAGAAAGATGAGACTTTCTGCTCCCATAGAGACTTACAGCCTCAGAAACCCTCTCTAGAGTTGCTGTAGTGTATGCAATGTAGCATAGACACCTGGGAATAAAAGTTCTGAAATGTACCTAGTGGTTAGGACTTCTAATGTTACCTTTTAGACATGCTGGGTATGTTGTTGTTAAGTGCCTTCTAGTCATTTCCAACTCATACAAACCCTGGATAGAGTTTCCAAGGTGCAGCTGGTGGGTTTGAACTGCCACTTTGCAGTTCAAATCAGCCTTGTGGTCTAGTGCTTATCCTACAACACCACACCAGAACTCCTCTGTAGATACAGGTAACAGAGTTTTACCTCATCTAGTTTGAACAAAAAGTGTAGAGTCATAGTCTTACATAATTTGATTAGATTTGAAAACAAACTGATTTTAAAAATTAGAAAATCTGTAAGAATTTCTGGTTGATTAAATGAGGGAGATAAGAAAGAAGAGGGAATTAAAACAACTTCTGGGTTTTAGGCTTGAATAGATAGATGACAGAGCTCCAGGTGTGGTACTTAGGATAAGCACTGCACAGGTAACTACAAGATTGGCGGTTCCAACTACTAGCCACTCCTTGGAAACCTGTACAGATTAGCTATGAGTTGGAACTGACTCGATGGCACTCAACACCAAGAACAACAGGTAGATGATAATGCTGTTCACTTATGTGATACATGACCAGAACCTTCAGTCATTCTAGATTGTCACCCCTGCTACACAACAATTTGTCATCTTATTCAATCTGTAATTTATTGATACTATTTTCATTTATCCATAACTTTCTTACTGCCTCTTTTTTCTTAATTGAGATTTCATGGTCTATCACACAACTCAACTACTACTGTTTTCGTTTCAGAATCTTGGCCACAAAAATCTCAACTCATCTTTGCTGTGTAGTTTTCCTTAGCAAATTTGCTTTCCTATTTTCTAGAATGACTGTTTGATACCTTCTGTGCTCCTCTGTTAAATTTTACATACCATCTTTCCCTCTCTCCTCAGCTGATAGTCTTACTTTCTATTTCATAGAAGTCTTCAAAGTAGAACGTGCTTTTATTTCCACTATCAATTCTGAATAATATTATGATTATAGCCATCTTTTCGATCTTTGATTTTTATCATTTTAGAAGCAAGTCTCTGGTCATTTCAAAATGTAATCTCTACAGTTGCATTTTGGATTCTGACTCCTCTTCTCATTTTTTTTTTTTTTTTTTATCTGCTCATCATCTTTGGCTTGTAAGTCATCTCTTCTAGAGGCATGCATAACCTTCAAACATGCCATAGGATTCCACTGCAGGAGGTTACCACCACATCTCTTTCAGTTGTTACTTATCAGCTCATCTTCATAAAACCATAAACCAAATCTACTGCATTGGGACTAATTCTGATTCATAATGAACCTATATAGGATTTCCAACACTGTAAATTTATCTGAATTTACAGCTCTGGAGCAGAAAACCTCATTTTTCTCCTGTGGAGTGATCTTACAGTTAGTAGTCCAGTGCTTATCCATGGCTTCTCATAAAGAACTCTAAGTAGTTCTTTATAATCACTGTCACATGTCTACACTTTTAAGAAAGTTTGTATTTTCTACAATCGGGCTTGCAACTATTTTTATTACTAAATGATTTGGCTACTACCTATCTGTTCTTATTTTACCAGCTTTTCCAACAGTATAATTGGTCACACCTTACTTTATAAAACACTTTATTCTTACAGCTTCTTTGGTACTATTTCTTTCTTTCCTATTGACCTTTTTTTTTAATGTTTTGTTGTGAATTATGTGGTAATTTACATTAGCTTTATATTCATCCTATCAAATATCATTTCATTGCCATGGTTACAATCCCCTCCATGCATCATCAACCAACAAAAGGGTATACCCTGCAAGCCTATCACCCGATCGTCAGCACACAGCCCCTCTCCCTCTCTAGGTCTAAAGTCCCCAGCCACTCCATCTCTCCACGTCATCGTCTCTGCCTCCATCTCTGGTGTCACTGCTTCTCTGGGTAGGGTCTTGCTCTCTGCTCTTCTCCCTTAATGGTCCCAGGGACCTCTGCTCCTAGACTGCAAAGTCAATCACTTCCCTTCTTTAGCTACAAAATGTCTACCTTTGCATTTCCAACGCTCACAATCAGCCTGATAACAATTGTTGTTGTTGATAAGTGCCATGGAGTCGGTTCCAACCCATAGGGACCTTGTATAGGGTTTCCAAGGAGCAACTGATGAGCTTGAACCATCGACCTTGCATTTCAGACGCCTTTGCAGTCTGACACATTAACCCATAGCGCCACACCAGGACTCATGATAACAATTATTCACTATTATATCACAAGAGACCTATCTGCATATTCTTTCATCAGCCCCGCCCAGACAGATTGGCTACTACTCTGGAGATTGTACCTTCTTCCACGCCCTCTGGACCTAGGTTCCCTCTTGAAACCTTGTAAGACAGTCACTTCTTGCCTTTGTAGCCCCCAACTTTGGGTAGCCAATGTCCAAGTTGCCCATCCCTCTCTATTTTGTGTATGGGGGTGGGGGGCAGGAATGATCCTTGCTGTAAAGATTTGTTCCCTCTTTTGAACTACTGCATCCATAGGTGTAGGTCAAGTTTATGAAATTGTATCAGATTACTCTGTTTTCCTCTTCTTTTTTCTTCTAGTTGAGCTCTGATCATCCAGTCATTGAAGCCAGGTCAAGTGGATATTATCTATAAGTGTAGGTGTTCTTGTGAATATGCCCTTTCTTCTTATCAACTGGATGTTTCACTCTCCAGTCTAGTCCTCTGTGGTTATGTCACTGACTCTGGGCCCAAGAGTCCCCATGACCTTTACTTTTAAAGCAATTGTTGTTATTGTTATTTATTTTACATTTGGATTCATTTAACTTTCACTGTGGCTTTCATTTTAAATGTTTCTTTTTTTTAATCTAGATATAACTATTGCATTTTTTGTTGTTGTTTTTTTAACCTCATCAGTGCCTTCTACTATAACATTCAGGTATATGGAAAGATATGTTGTTGTTGTTTAGTTCTGTTGAGTTCATCCAACTCATAGCGACCTTGCATAAGGCTTCCAAAGAGCAGCTGGTAGGCTTAAACTCCTGACCTTGCAGTTAGCAGTCCAGTGTTTATCCTGTAGGCCCATGTCAGGATACCATAAAAAGGTATAAAGAATAATACAATACACACCTTTGTATATACTGTCTCAGTTAAGAAATAAACCATATCAAGCCAGTTGCAACTCCTAGTGAACCCATGTGTGTGAGAGTAGAAAAAGAACTATGCTCCATCGAGTTTTTAATGTTGTGATCTTTCAGAAGTAGGTCATCAGGCTTTTCTTTTGAGGTGCCTCTGGGTAGATTTGAACCACCAATCTTTCATTTAGTAGATGAATGCTAAACTGTGCCACTCAGGGACTCTTAGATTAAGTAATACAATATTATAAATTAAATGCTTTATAGGGTTTTTTGTTGTTGTTTTTTTGATAAATATCATTCACTATATTTTTGTTGTTGTTCAGAAAATACACAGGAGAACATGCACCAGTTAAACAATTTTTACATGTACATTTCAGTGACATTGATTACATTCTTCAAGTTGTGGAACCATTATCATCCTTCTTTTCCTACTTGTTCCTCCCCCATTGGTATAAACTGACTGTCCTCTAAGTTTCTTATCTCATCTTTTGAGTTGGTGTGATTATGATTAGTTTGATCATATTTAGATAGATTTTCGAGTCCTGGTGTGGCACTGTGGGTTAATGCACTAGACTGCAGTTGGTTGGAAACACAAGGTCAGAGGTTCGAGCTCACCAGTTGCTGCTTGGAAACCCTATACAGGATTGCTATGGGCTGGAACTGACTTGATAGCACTTAACAGCAACAACAATGGTAGGTCTTAAAGGATCACAGTGTTCATCATAGACATTCTTACTAGTTAAACTATACCATTTTTGTTTCTCTTTTTTTTTTTCTCCCAGCCACTTTCCCTCTTGCAGTCCTCTAAGATATTGGAGTACTTGAGGCTATTTTAGATCTGCTTCTCTTTTTTATCGACCTAATTCTCAAACCCAATGTATAGCACTTAACAGCAACAGTTCTCCTGCTTCATCTAACACCATTATAACAGTGTTCCAGTCATATTGGGTACCTCACCATTCCCAAATACCAAAAGTTATTTCCTTTCTAGAGTCTTTTGCACATGCTTTTCTGTGTCATGAACGTGATTATCTCTAATTGCCTAATGCAATACGTCGTTTGATTTCTTGGTTGTAGCTTCCATCAGTGTTGACAATTGATCTAAGAAAAATGAAGTCCTTGACAACTTCAATCTTTTCTCCATTGATAAGAATGTTGTTTTTGGTCCAGTGGTGAGGATTTTTGTTTTCTTTACATTGAGAT